CTAAAGAGCAAATTTCTAGTGACTTTGTTGCAAATGTTGCACTGTGAGTGTGGCTCGTGCAGGGAATCCTGAGACTCAGGGTCAATTTTGCCAAGAGCGCGCTGTCCCCCAGCCAACAACGAGCTGTCTCGGCTGCTCTCAGCAGACCCGTGGCCCATTCCCCTGAGACGGGACCTCCTCTCTCAGGCAAACAGAACGATATAGCACCCCCAGCCAGAGCTGTGGGCTCTGCACCATTGACCTCTTGATGGGAGCTTGTGGACCTCCCCGAGAGCATACTAAATACAATCTTTCAGGCTAGAGCGCCATCTACGAGATGACTCTATGCCCTTAAATTGTCTGTCTTCTCCGCCTGGTGTACAGCCCGTGGCGCAGACCCAACTTCCTGAGACATATCTCTGATATTGTCCTTCCTGCAAGAGCTGTTGGATAAGGGCCGTTCCCCTTCCACGCTCAAAGTCTATGTAGCAGCCATAGCAGCCTCTCACACTTAGCGGGCCAATCGGTGGGCAGGAACAACTTGGTTGTCCGCTTTTTGAGGGGGGCCAGGAGGCTGAATCCGCCTCGCCCCCTCACTGTCCCTACATGGGATCTGCCCACTACGAGCCTCTACAGTCTACTGACCTTCGGTCACTGTCACTAAAGACTGCTCTGCGTCTAGCACTAGCATCGATAAAGCAAATAGGAGACCTGCAGGTGCTTTCCTTTAGCCCTGCCTATCAGGAATTCAGGCCCAAAGACTCCAAGGTCGTCTTGAAACCAATTCCACGAGAGGCGTCGCCTCGTCTTGGGCATGGTCTAGCGCTGTGTCCATTACAGAAATCTGTGCGGCGGCCGGCTGGGCCTTGCCGTCCACATTTGCTAGATTTTATAACCTGGACATCCCGGCCTTGCAGGCCAGGGTCCTTTCTGCTTAAGTGGGCACACACTTGCGTTATGCAAAACAGTTCTGACAGACAGTCCTTGACCATGACACGCTCATGCTCTTCAGGCATGACCTCTGTGAGTTTAGCCCATTTTAGCCTTGGAGAATATTGTTATACTTCCCTATTGGCATTAGATGCTTAAAGAGGTTATAGTATGCAGTCGTTTCTCTACCATAGCATGGTGTAATTGTACTGGGGTCCCATAGCATCTTTTAGCAAGAGGCAGTGCGAGTGAAGTATCGATAGGGAACGTACTCGGTTACTAACGTAACCTCGGTTCCCTGAGATACGGGAACGAGTACTGCATTGCTAGCCGTGCTATGTAGCTGCACGACTCAGTCGTCGCTTCAGTCGAAGTAACCTGAGGATCCTATGGCAAAGCGCCCACTTATATAGCCATATGGCCCCGCTCATTCTGGTAGGCTTCCTCCCTATAGGCTCATGCAGCTCCGCTGCCGAGCCATTGGTTCGTTTTTAATACACTGCACGAACCAATGGCCGTGCAGTTACACTGTGTGATTGAAAAAAGGCTTCAGTTCAGGGGGAAAAAAGGCTTTTTCCCATAGCGTCTTTTAGCAAGATGCAGTACTCATTCCCGTATCTCAGGGAACCGAGGTTACATCAGTAACCGAGTATGTTTCTTCCACATGCAAATTTCACTTATGTTAAAATTTGTCATGTGGAGTCACCAGAGGTGGAAAGTAACGAATTACATTTACTCGCGTTACTGTAATTGAGTAGCTTTTTTGTGTACTTCTACTTTTTAAAGTAATTTTTAAAATCTGTAATTTTACTTTTACTTGAGTTTATTTTGTTTGAAGTATTGTTAGTTATTAGTTATTTGTTGAAGTATTAACACATTAATTACTGAGTAAAAAAAAATCGTGCATCGTGGCATTGGTGGTTAAAATGAAGCTTTGGCAGTTTAGCAAAAGGTTTTGCACAAATTGGGCAAAAATACAGTGGTGCAGGGTGTGCGATATATATCGTCTTTTGCGATATATATCGATTTGACATTATCAGTATTTTGCCAAAAACCAAACAAAACCTTTCTACAGAGTGCCGTGAAGTCTAGTAGATTAGACTAGTGCGCGCGCGCATTTAGAGTGCGTTCTTTCACTGCGTGATTCAGTCTGTTAAAATGCATTTAGAATGATCACAAAATTGAAGATATAGGGGCAGAAAATGTATACATTTATATAATTTCATATAGTAAATCAATATCACACGAAGAGTGCCGTTTTTTTCAACAGCCCAAATGTATTATTCAAAATACTTGAATCCTTTAATTAAAAACAACTAGTGTGAGATTTATAGGCCTATCCCAGGGGTGTCAAACTCAGTTCCTGGAGGGCCGCAGCCCTGCAGGGTTTAGTTCCAGCCCCGTTTCAACACACACATACCATGCTGTGCATGGCTGTGGCCCTCCAGGATTGTAATCCAAGTAATTTTTACTCTTGAGTAAATTTAAAATGAGCTACTTTTTACTTTTACTTGAGTAGATTTTTAGACTGGTACTTTTACTTGTACTTAAGTAAAATTTCATTAATGTAATGGTACTTTTACTTGAGTAGAATATTTTCGTACTATTTCCACCTCTGGGAGTCACCTCGCCGATCAATTGAAAACTGCTTGGTTTGAAAGTTACTTCACTGTGCACTGTACTTCATACATCGCTACATTATAAGGGAAAATGAATCAGTTTTTGCCTGTGCAATTTAGCTTATGTGACTGCACTTTTAGAGAGTTTGAGAAATAGTGTATGTACTTCGCTGCATATGTTTATGATGAAGCTCAGTAGGATAAATTTCTTGTTGCTAAAGGGAAATGTCAACTATTTCTGTGTTTACAGGTGGTGGTTATTTTATTTCCTGCCTGTGTTTCTTTTAACAAATGAAGGTGAGTGCTAAAATGAACAATTATTTCAGAAGCAAATTTCTACCTTTTGAGTTTGCTAAACTGCTTTCTTGTTTCTTTTTTAATAACTTCTCTGTTTTCAGTGTCTCTGAAGGAGACTGTTGTGGGTTTTATTGGAGGCTCTGCTGTTTTACCTTGTTCTTTTGAAGAACCTCCGCTTACAATTCAAGACATAAAAGTGCTGTGGAGACACAGCAGCCAGAATGTGTATGACATTATTTATGGTAAAGTCTCTGTGGAAGGACAGGATCCACAGTACAGGAACAGAACTGAAAGCTTTCCTGAGGAGTATCTGAGAGGAAACTTCTCACTCAAACTCAACAACCTTCAACACACTGATGCAGAAAATTACAAGTGTTACATCATAGCGGAATCAGTAATCAAGAGTGTTGAACTTTTGACTAAAGGTGCGTAAAACCACATGATCGACAAAAAATCTTTACATTTCAGCCTTTGTTCTTTTGCATAGACATTATAAAGGGATGCACTCATGTTTTGTGTTTTTTCCTCCCATCTTTTATAATTATTTTGTCTTCCAGAGAGACCAGAAAGACAACTCCCCAATGAAGGAACAAAACCAAGACCAGATGTGATTGTAATGATCATTTCTTTTCTGTGTATTGGCATTATAGTTTCATTGGTTGTAAGTTCATTCATCAGTCATAATTAACATGTATTTCATATTGTAATTAAGTGACAGCCTCTAATTAAATGCTGTAACATTGTTTTACAGAACTCTGCCACAGCGTCTTTTTAAGGGTTTTTTGTCATCGCTCATTTCACAGTTCCTATACTCGACGTCATCTGCACAGGTTCCTGGGAATGTCTGTATGGCATCTGTAGATATCATCTTGTTGTTGTGCTCACCCTCATTAATCTACTGAACCCATCAAAACTTTTTCCACAGTGGTGCAAATGCCAGCATGCATTGACAATGTAAAAGCTCTCTATTATAGATGACCTACTGTGGTGGAGGTAGAAGTCAATGATGAGTTCTGGTACTTGTGTTACTGTATTTTGAGGTATACAAAAGTATAAAAAAGGATGTGAAAATGTTTTATTGTGAACCAGTCCCAGGCCTCATGTGATGTGCTGTGGAAAGTAAAAATGATTTTATTACAATTGCTAGGACCCATTTCACAATACTTGAGGCACTTTTTCAAAACTCTCCACACAGTTCTCCTAAGCAACAATAAATTTCAGTTTGGCACAGCAGCTAATTTCACATTCAAATGCACTAAAACTATAAAAAACACTTCATACTTCTTGAGAAATTGGTCTTAGCAATTGGGGGAAAAAAACTATGTAATGTGAATATAGCAATGTATTGTGCTGATAACCACCATGATAATACAGGTGCTAAATTAGAAAACCACTTCCAGAACTACTGTCCAGACAACATTGCCAGAACTCGTCTATAGATGAACATTACATCACACTAAAACAAAAAAAAACAACAAAAAAAGAAACAGAAATAGCGTGTGAGTTACAAATGAGGAATACAAGTGACCCATCATAAAGAGGCAAATAAACACAAGAAGTGCTCATAATATGAAGTTTCAGACATTGACTAGAATAGTACAATATTAAGGAAAAGTGAAAGCATTGAGGCAATTTTTTTTCCAGTAGGATGCAGTTAAGTGCTCATAGAAGAAGACATGAGTTTTCAGCTGTCAGGGATTTGGCGTTCTGGATGGGAAGAACATCCCACCAGCCAGGAACAGTGAAAAGAAATGTTCTGGAAAGTGATTTTGTGCCTCTCTGTGCTGGTACTGTGAGCTGTCGTTCACTTCTGGAGGGCTTGTAAACTCGTAAGAGCGAGTGGAAGCAGGAGGGTGCAGAGAGATTTAAGAGAGGTGTGGTCCTTTTGGACTCGTTGAAGCCCAGCCGATACATTCTGGATCATTTGTTAGAGGTTAAATTGTGCATGTTGGAAGCCAGAAGAGCAGTGCAACAGTCCAGCCTAGAAATGGCAATGGACTGTATCTTTTGTATTTTGGGTGTATCACAAAAATGTGATAAAGACTTAGGTCCAGTAAGACCTTATATAAGAGTATTATATAGATTTATTTAAACAATATATTTTATGGTAATTTGCATGTTTTACAGTATTATATATACTATTATATTAAACCATTTATATTTTTTACATATACAACAACTTGCAGTTTTTAAATTATCTGTAGATAAATAACACATAATGGGTGCATTGCTGAGGAGATCATGAGTCTCAGGCTGAATCTTGTTTTCTGTCTGCAGTGCTCAAGAGTCAACACTTGTTTTTTACTGAATGTGTATGTGACAGAGAAGTAGACTCCAATTTTACTGTGTACCTTGGTTTCATTCATGGTGTTATTAATTTTATAACATTTAGATTGGGTTTGCAATTTTATATTTCCTGTTTTTAGCAGAGTGGGCGTGAACTTTTCAAGCACACCTGTAGATGTTTGTGTACAAATATGTTTTGTTTTTGTACTACTCACAGGACAAATGTTAAAACATACCATTTACTTGGGTCTCAATCACTGTGGAGTGTTAACACTTCTGTTTTGTGTAGCTCTTTGCTAAACAGTGACAACGCTGTGTACCTTATTAGCCATTATGTTACTTACAATTGAAATACCTACTGTTGTTCAATAACAATTATGAAAAACCTGAAATTAAAAATAAAAACAAATAAATACAGGTATGAAATGGCATCGGTGTATATGTGGATTGCATTGTGTGTTTTTTTAAAGCACTGTATACATTTATGCATTAATAATGTGATGCATCTGGGTGATGTTATGATATTGTTTTAATAGTACTATATTCATATCTTTTTTTTACGTTATTTTTAAAGGCTTTTTATTGAGATAGGACAGTAGAGAGATGACAGGAAAGCACTGGTTGGAGAGAAGGGAGCGGGATCAGCAAAGGACCTCGAGATGAGAATCAAACTTTCGTGTTACTTTTTAAATCTGGTCTGGGCTTTCTTGTTTGTTTTTAATATAAATAAAGTTCTAATTTTGGCAAATGAAAAAGCCCTTTCACACCAAAAGAGAGGGCCGCGCAGCTCAAACAAATCTTTCAGCTATAATTAATTAATTACATTTATATAGCGCTTTTCTGAGCACTCAAAGCGCTTTACATTGTCAGGGGGATCTCCTCGTCCACCACCAGTGTGCAGCATCCACCTGGATGATGCGACGGCAGCCATATTGCGCCAGAACGCCCACCACACACCAGCTCATTGGTGGAGAGGAGACAGAGTGATGAAGCCAATCAGCAGATATGGGGATGGTTAGGAGGCCATGATGGTCAGAGGCCAATGGGCGAGTTTGGCCAGGATGCCGAGGTCACACCTCTACTCTTTTCGAAAGACATCCTGGGATTTTTAATGACCACAGAGAGTCAGGACCTCGGTTTAACGTCTCATCCGAAGGACGGTGCTTTTTGTCAGTATAGTGTCCCCATCACTACACTGGGGCATTAGGACCCACACAGACCACAGGGTGAGCACCCCCTGCTGGCCTCACTAACACCTCTTCCAGCAGCAACCTAGTTTTCCCAGGAGGTCTCCCATCCAGGTACTGACCAGGCTCAACCCTGCTTAGCTTCAGTGGGCAACCAGTCTTGGGCTGCAGGGTGATATGGCTGCCAGTAAATGGATTGCTATGGATTGCATGAAAAATAGGATGCAGGAGAAGAAAGTTATTTACTAGTTACTTTAAAAAAGTAAACTGTAACTCGCATTACTTGTAACGTGTTACCACTAAGACTGGTTACTTTGCTAATTCACTCAACTATGTACTAGAAAAGGCAGATGTTTAAAAATCTTATAATATTAGAATATAAAGGCACCTAGTAGTATTAGCTGCTTCTCATTATGGGTCACTTTTTAAAAACTTCTCATGATGTGACTATGTTGGCTAAACTGTGGATCATTTATTGCTTCTTTGGCAGAACATGCATTCAGTGACTACATCTTTCCAGTGGTGGACAGTAGCCAAGTCGGTTAAGGTAGAGCTGGGATGATTGCAACACATTTTGCATTTCCTCCAGATACTGTTTGTATTGGAAAGAGACTGCTTGTATTAGAAAGGCAAAATTGACCTTAAACCCACATCTGTCAGCTATACACACTGTAATGATCAACCTGGTCTCATAAAAATACGTACCTCTGTGCACTTTTTGTGCAACATCGTTTTTACGTACCTTACTGCACGTTTCGCCGCAGTTTCAAAGAGAAATGCCCACTGACCCTGAAAAACCAGCATATGCTGGTTAGGTATGTTTTGACGCTGGGATGCTGGTTTAAGCTGGTCCTTTGCTGGTTTAT